TTTAGTAATTTTGCATCCGCTGCCACCCTCCTTATCTGCTTCTTAGTTATAAATCCTACTTAGCTTTGCCATCGTATTTGAAGTTGAACTTGATCTGTCTCTCCTTATGCAATGATCTTGACACCTAGCCCAGTAGTCCTGAATAAAGTCCTCCTTACCATCTTCACAAGTGTCAGAATAATTTTTTTAACACAGATCAAAACCTAAATATTGTGGTTTTCCAAAGAAGCTGATGCTCAATAGGTGTTTAATATGTGCCAAGATGCTGTTTGCTCTAAATGCCAAAATCTATTCCTCACAACATCCCAATGAGTCAGTACTATTATTATTATCCTTACAGATTAAAGGAGTTCCTCCAGAGGTTAACTTACTAGCCCAAACACTCAGAGCTGGAGCTAGCTAGTGGAACTGAAACTCTAATCCAGGAGTTCTGGCCCCAGGGTTCATATTCTTAAACAGAATACCAAACTGCCCCCCCAAGGACTAAAACTTAGGTTGGGAAGTCGACTCTGTCAGTGTTCTTAGAACAAAGTTCTCAAATTTAGCTGCCCTCACAAGTCCAGGGTAAGTACTATCAACTAGGAAAGCAAGGCCTGTGGGGAATACACCACCTGGAAGGTCCATGCTCAAGGTGACCAGTTCTCATTGTCACCACCTAGTGGTTGCTGTCTAGAAATGCATACCTTCTGAGTTTTTAAAGACTAGGGAAAAGAGAAATCTGACTTTTTTAAAAAAGATTTTATTTATTTATTCATGAGAGACACAGGGAGAGAGGCAGAGACATAGGCAGAGGGAGAAGCAGATTACCTGCAAGGAGCCCGATGTGGGACTCCATCCCAGGACCCCGGGATCATAACCTGAGCCAAAAGCAGACACTCAACCACTGAGCCACCCAGGTGCCTCAAGAAATCTTTTATGAAAGATCTCTTCAATGGAGGGGTGGGGGGAGGAAAGGGAAGGGGAGAGGGGAAAAGAGACAGGAGGTGGGAAGAAAGGGAAGAAAAGGGGAAACCATGCAGTATATACACCCTGCCTCCTGCCCTTGTACCATGCGCATTTGCGTTCTCTCGCGCTCTCTCTCACACACACATACACACCTGCAGCAGAGATTCATTCAGCCGCAGGCTACCTGTTTGTAATTTCATTTTTAGAGGTTATTAAATCTTACCTTAATGGACTCAGCTTGGTTTAAAAGATATGTACTCCTCACTCTAAGCCACCAAGTAATTACACTTTTAAAATGTCCTATTTGTCTAACCTATTAGAGACTACAGATTTCTGCTTTTGGTTGGAAAGGGGAGATGGTTTTTTTCTGGGTGCATGAAGATGCTGTGACAATTACTTTAGCAGACATGTTTGAGAGAAGTGTTGATTTCTTATCTCCCCATGAATCAAGAGATTTCAAATTACAGGTATTAGCCAAGCAATTTGGTATTTCTTTTTGATTCTTAAGTTGATGAATAGTTTTACCTCTATTAATAAATAAACAAAACACCCTTTCACAGTTAATCTAGTATCAGCAGCTAGCTATCTGTAAAAAATGGAAGTTAATGTTGTGAATTCTGAGAGTTTTTCTGAAATCCATCATGTTTTTCTGACTCTTCGAACTTCAGTTGCTGAACCTTGAGCTGTTTATATTTCACAGTTACCTTTGGCAAACCAGGTTTCTTTGCTCCTGCCATATAACATAGGCGATGTTCTGTCCTTCTGGCTTTATGAAACTGTAGCAGGGCAGCAGCTTTTGTAGCAGATGTCCACTGGACTTGTTTTTAATTGTCTAACATGGAATTACAGATAAAGTTTCATAAATAAGATACAACCATTTTCTTTCAAAAATAGCACTCTTTTTTTAAATTGCGTTTTGATTAATACATCATGGGTTGAAATTTCCTATTATTTTGAAGTTTGGCCAGGCTTTAATAATGGCCATTTTGGAGGGAAATGGGATCAATTAACACCTTTTTATGCACAAGACTTGGCACTGTCTCCTGTGGAGTGAACAGAAAAGAATCAATAAGCTTGTCTTCTTCCCTCCTGGAACTTGAAGTACCTTTGGAGAAATACAACATTTATACAAGTACAACGGTACAAAAACAGTGCATAAGAAGGACCCAGATAACTACAGCTGTATGATTTTAAAAGGAGACTTTATGACTTGAAAGCATCAGAGGCCTTCAGAAAGAAAATGAGATTTAAGTGGAGCCTGGAAGAACAGGTAGGCTTTCTGAGGAGGATAGCAGAGAGTGGGAGGAAAGGCACAATAAAGGCAGGTGAGAAGAGGAGAGAAGGTAAGAGGGGGTTGGGGCCCAGCCATTGCAACAGAAATCTCCAATAAGGAAGACATGGAAAGGGTTTGAGTGAGCAGAGAGTAGTCAAGACAGACCAAGGATGGGAAAATATTCAACCCATCAATATGAGTGATGAAGTTACTTGTAAGAGCTGGTTTGGAGGAGAAAATAAGCTGAATATACATTAAAATTCAGATATACTTTTCAGAATCTAGTCTTTTCCCACCTTTCAGTCTCTCCATCTCTTATTTTCTGTCTTCAACTCATCACACTCCCTCCATTAAGATGTAACATGTCTCATTCTAAATATCTTTAGAATTTATGTAATCACATACAACCATGTCTGCACACACACCCACAGGGCGTGATTTAGGTCAGTGTGTGTTTTAGTGTAGTGTTTGAGGTCATTGTTTCACAAAAATGAAAACGTATATATTCTTTTCCTTACCTTGCTTTTCTCTCTCAGCCATACCTCGGGGAAATCCCTCCCAAGTGAACACTTAGAGCCCAATTAGCTGGTTCTTTTAATGGTTGCATAATAACACTCCACAGTACAGATATATTTTGTGATCTGTTCCCGTATTCCTCCTATTCATGGAGATCAGTTGGCTTCCAGTTTTTTTGCTCCTACAAATAGTACCTCAATAAGCATACTGGTATCTCTATCTAGATATGCTGGTATTTTATTTCTGTTGATAGAGTTGGAGTCTCTGGGTCAAGGACATGTGTGTTTTTCCTTTTAAAAACTAAACTGCTGGGCAGCCTGGGTGGCTCAGCGGTTTAGCGCCGCCTACAGCCCAGGGTGTGATCCCAGAGACCTGGGATTGAGGCCCACGCCGGGCTCCCTGCATGGAGCCTGCTTCTCCCTCTGCCTGTGTCTCTGCCGCGCTCTCTCTCTCTGTGTGTGTGTGTGTCTCTCATGAATAAATAAATAAAATCTAAAAAAAAAAAAACAACTAAACTGCTTCCTAAAGAAAACTGTAAGAGTACACAGTTTGCACCTACAATTAATGAAAAAACTGCCTTTCAGTAGGTCTCCCCAGGTCATAATGCTTTTTTTTTTTTTTTTTTTAAGATTTTGCAAGTGCAAAAAAAAAAAAAAGATTTTGCAAGTGCTATTGATGTAAAATCTCAGTTACTTTACTTGCACTTCTTTGACTACAAATGAATTTGATCTTCTTTCCACGAGCTTGTTGGGTTTCCTATCTTATAAGTTGCATTTTTGTGTTCTGTGTCCATTTTTCCAATGAACTTTGTCTCCCTATAAATTTACTTTTTTGAGAGAGAGAGAGAGAGAGAGAGAGAGCCCATGCACCAAGCAGGGGCGGGGGAAGGGACAGAGGGAGACTGAGAGAATCTTAAGCAGGCTCTACACTAGGTGTGAGCCCACATGGGATAGTCTCATGACCTGGAGATCATGACCTGAGTTAAAATCAGGACACAGATGCTTAACTGAGCCACCCAGGTGCCTCAACTCCTATACACTTTTAAGATCTTCTGCTATAGGGGCAGCCCGGGTGGCTCAGCAGTTTAGCGCTGCCTTCAACCCAGAGCCTGATCCTGGAGATCCAGGATCGAGTCCCACGTCAGGCTCCCTACACGGAGCCTGCTTCTCCCTCTGCCTGTGTCTTTGTCTCTCTCTCTCTCTCTCTCTCTCTCTGATGGATAAATAAAATCTTAAAAAAAAAAAAATCTGCTATAGTGTAGATATTTTTACCTGTTCTCTACAGTTTTAAACATTTGTTTTTCAAATCTGTTGTATTTTTTATAGTATCTTTTGCCATACAAAACTTTTGGGTTTTATTTGATCACTTAAATTTAGGTTTTCGTATAGTTTCTGTATTTTCTCCCTTGCCAAAAGAAGCCTATTCTTTCTGCCCCTGGATTATATTTATGTTTCCTAGGTTTTCTTACAGGATTTTTATTTATTTATTTATTTTACATTTTAACCTTTAATCCATCTAAATCCATCTAGGATTTATTTTTGGAGTTGTTGTAAGATAAAGATCTAATTTTCTTCCAGATGTATTAACAGTTTGCCAGCTCCATATATTAAGTAATCCATCATTTTGCCCCTAAATTGAAATGCCTCCCTTGTCATAGATTAAATCTTCATTTATATCTGGATCTATTTCTAGATATTCTATTTCACATATTTGTTTAGGCCCATTTCAACTTACTGATTTGATTATAGTAGCTTTATAGGATTTTCTGAAATCTGGTAAATCAGACTACACAAATGACTTTTGGGTAGTTATCATCTGCTCAGGTAAAAAACATTTAAAACATATTTACTAGACAGCAGTGGGATGCAAGCAGAGGCTACCATACCAAAATAATACTTGTATAATTAAACTATTTTCTTCAAAATTTTTCTTCCTATTTTTATAGCAACAGATGTAGGAGAAAAAGGTTTAATGTGCTTTTAAGTTTTTTTTTTAAGATCTTATTTATTCATTTATTTATTTGAGAGACAGAGAGCCCAAGGCGGAAGGGCCCCAGAAGAGAGAGAAGCAGGCTCCTCACTGAGCAGGGAGCCCAATGTGGGGGTGCATCTCAGGATCGTGGGGTCACGACCTGAGCTGAAGGCAGATGCTTAATTAACTGAGCCACCCAGGCGCCCTGCTCATAAGATCTACAAATGACAGTTTGGTGCACTTTCAGTCCTTAAATGCTGTAGTGTATTAATGATACCGTCTCCTTTATTCGCAGATTGACCCTTCAGAAAGGTCATCATCCCTGACTGAGTCTTCACACTGAGCTAAGACTGCTTCCCTGAGGGAACACTGCACCAGAGAGCTCTGAGATTTTTCTGAAGAAAAATTCCATGGGGACTGTACCTGACCCTTTGAGATCGGCTAAAACTTCCTTGATCACAGCTTCTGGAAAAGAGGAGGATCTAGGAGAAGTGCCACCTGCCTCACCTCGGCCTCCACCAGCCCTCCTGTGTAAGAACACCAATGGCCTCTCTGGGCCTCCTGAAGAGCCAGTCCTCAGCCCCAGGGCAGCTGCTGAGGCCCTGATGCAGGCCTATGAGCATGAGACCACCCAGCCGGACATGTCTTCTCCTGGTATCTTCAATGAGGTGGAAAAAGTGTCTTCCGCGTGCAACTCTCCTGGCCATACCCAGCTGCCAGGAAGCTGCGAGCCCACAGCACCAGCCCCGTGTTCTACAGCAGGAAAGGATCTAGACGAAGCATTGACCATGCCAGCCAGTCAGCATGCCTACCAGGCCATCCCAGGTGCCCAGCTCAAGGCCAGCCCCTCATCAGGACCTGAAGATACACTGCTGAAAACACAGAGAACTTCCTCAGAAGGAGAGCAAGCTGAAACGTCAAGCTGTCCGGCGGGCAGCACCCGGGGCAACAGCGAAGCTCAAGTGCCCTGTGATTTTCCTTCTCCAGAAACAATCCAGGAAATGGTACAAACTGCAAATATGGCAGCCAGGGCGTTCATTCACACGTCCTCTCCTGTAGGCGGACCTGAAGGGGAAAGGCCAGGAGCTATGTGTGACCCCCGGACAAGGTCCTGTGAACCTCCAGCAAGAGAGGATGGATGCTCTGGGAACAAACAGCCCCCTGCCACCACCTCGGACAGCCAGAGTGTGACTCCCGTGACAACTCAGCGATCCCACCTCACTAGTCAAGGCTCCACGTTTCCTCCGGATCTGGGAAAGGTGCCGCTGCCAGCGCAGCACCAGGTGTTAAGGTTCAAAGAAGCCAGTACAATGACCAACCAAGCTGCAGGTGAGGTCAGGGAAGTTCCCGGCAGGGCTCAGCAAGACGCCGAGGTGCAGGCAGTGGCAAGTGTCGAGAGCAGATCCGTCTCCACCAGCCCCAGCATCCTCACAGCATTCTTAAAGGAAATGCCCGTTCCTGAGCGTTTGGAACCACAGGAGCAGCTTCGTGTCGTCTGCCGTGGGGCTGGCAGTGGGAGCCACACCGTGGAGCTGTCTGACAACCCCCTGGGCCCCCAGGAGCCAGGTCAGTGCCCAGGCATCACACCGGAGGCGCACGGCCAGGCGCCCACTGCCGTTTCCACGGCTTTCCGAGGGGAAGGTAACTTGGAGAGGCTACCGGGGGAGGCCCTCACCGGGTCCCCGACCGCGTCGCCGACCGCGGCGGCGGCGGCGGCGGCGGCGGGTAACGCTCAGAGTATGTGTAAGGAAGCCGGGAGGTCAGCAGGAATGACCCCAACTAGGGAGGCGCCCACCTCCAAACAGCTCTCGAGTGTGAAGTCTCGCTCCCCGAAAGCCGGCGCCACCGACCAGATCTCTGTCGGCGCCGGAAGTCACAGTGACACAAGCCACCAGCTGGGGGCCTCTGAAACCAAGCCGGCCGAGTTCGCGGTGGAAAGCGCAGATGGCCACAGGGCAGACGCAGACCGCCCTGCCGAGAGCTGGGGCCTGGCCGGCCCGGCCGGCCCGCAGCCTGCCCCTCCTCAGACAGGAAACCGGCCAGCGCGTCGGGGCACCGAGAGCCTGGGCGGCGGGGCCGGGGCGGACGCCAAAACGCTGCTGCTCACCCCGAAGTCTCGGGAAGGTGGAGGCCCCGCGCCCGCCGCCGGTGCTACGCCGTCCGCCGGGAGGCGGGGCCAGGAGGCGGCGGCGGCGGCGGCGGCGGAAGAAGGCCGACCCGCCGCGGCGGCCGCCAGCCTGAGCCTGCCGTGTGACGCCGTGGGCGACTCCAGTCCGGGTTCCGGCAAGAGGACCCCTTCTCGCTTGGCCAAAGCCAGCCCGCGCCGCGCCAGCCGCGTCAGCGAGTTCCTCAGGGAGCAAAAGCTCAACGTGACGGCGGCCGCCGCGCAGGTGGGGCTCACCCCGGGAGAGAAGAAGAAGCAGCTCGGCCCCGACTCCAGGCTGCAGCTGAAACAGTCCAAGCGCGTCAGGGACGTGGTGTGGGATGAGCAGGGCATGACCTGGGAAGTGTACGGGGCCTCCCTGGACCCGGAGTCGCTGGGTATCGCCATCCAGAACCACCTGCAGAGACAGATCCGGGAACACGAGAAATTAATCAAGGCGCAGAGCAGCCAGGCCCGCAGATCCATTTCCTCAGATACTTCTTCAAATAAGAAGCTCAAAGGAAGGCAGCACAGCGTGTTGCAGTCCGTGCTGCAGACCTTCCGCCGCCCCAACTGCTGCGTCCGCCCTGCCCCCTCCTCCGTGCTGGACTGAGGCGAGCGCGTCGGGCCTGGTCTGCGTCCGTGGTACCCCCGGGGGTCTCCCGGGGGTCTCGGGGTCCAGGCTTACCCAGGTTTCTCTTTCGTTTTCTTTTTCCGAGACACCAGAGAGAGGAAGCAAGGATTAACGACCGGAAGTTGCTCTTAAGAACTGTTGGGTCCTTTGACTGGGGCTCCATAAATAGAAATAGTTCAAGTGGAAAGAAAGAACAGGAGAAGAGGAGAAAGCTTCAGTGAAGGTTAACGACCTTAATTAAGAGGAGATAATATTCACTGGGTTGATTATTATTATTATTATTATTACGATGTTGCTTCTGGAACTAGCATTATTGTTACACGTAGGTCGTTCTGTATGACCGCCTCGATTTATCACCCTGTGGCATTGCCAATAAAATCCCCGCGTAATATTAAAAATAGCAAAACCACTACTAGCGAAAACACTGTTAGGTCGTTCTAGTCGTATTGCAATGAGAGTGCTATGACCACACAAAATTTAAACAGATGGTAAGAACTATGATAAAAATGTGAAAACGGATTTGACTCACTCTTAGGCCAGGTGACATTAAGTAAAAGCATTTAAATGCATAAAATACCAAACATGAATTAATATTCGTAAACATCAGCAGGCCATTGTTTCTGTAAACCTTGTTACACCGTTATCAAATATTAAGAAAGTTCTGTTAGTAAAGTTAACTAAGCTATTGAATATGAATAATGCCCACATAAAACATGAATTTATATAGACGGATTTCCCTGCACTAGAAGGGAGGAACAACACTATGCTTCTGACTAAATTCGTATTTCTTTACTCTGGAGAAAGTGCAAAAGTGGAAACTGTGATCTCCCTACAATGCAACTGAATTCTTAGAAGGAGTCATCGAATTATTAATAATACTAAGGTTTGTGTTGTACAGGTGTTCTCCAAAAACATTCAACTGAGAGTGTTAAGATTTTGGTAAGGAATTATAAATAGCCAGTTTACCAAACACTCTCTTTTCTGTGTTGAAGAAAAAGAAGTAACAAAAGCAATATATTTAATTTTGATTCCTGTAAATGAGATAGTTTATATTTTTCTTTTGACTTGCTTGTCCAGTAGCTTCCAATAGAAAATGTAGTCGACACCAAATAGAACAGAAGCTTCCTCACAGTTTTTGTATGTAGACTAATATCATCTAATTGCTTAAGTTTCTAATTTGTAGTCAAAAGGCAGCCTGTGCAGACTTACTGACTTTAAGAGAAATACCATCATATCTCATCCTTCAAACCCAATAAAAGAGGCCTTTACTAAAACATGGTTTGAGCTTCAGGTGGGCTATAGTTTTTGAGAACATAGACACCTGTTTGAGCTCAGCACTCACCTGTCTCCGGAAAAGGAGTGTGTCCTTCGTACCCGTGAGTGTATTGCAGGGCACTGAGCTGGGATGATGAGCATTGGGGGAGTCTGGAAGATGGAAATGAGTTAGGACACTAGAAAAGTGTCCCCTCACTAGATTCATTGTAGGGAGATCACTGTTTCCACTTTGCATTTAGAAAATCAGATTGTTAAACATGGTGGGTGGGGTGCTCCCTGGTTGCCTTCCCTGAGATTGTTCTCCTTGATGAGCCAGAAAAGGGTGTCTGGCTATTAGGCTATTATTCTCTCTCTCTCTCTCTCTCTCTGGAGACTCATAAATGTCATTTGTGCAGTAAGTTGACAATTTCCGTTTTGGCTTTTTTTTTTTTTTTTTTTGAATTCTCTTTTGCAGATTCTGAACATATAGGGGAAATCATACCTAAACTTTAATACCAGATGCTAAACAAGGCACAGCCTAAATTAGTATATAGCCACTGGTTTCTTTCAAAGCAATTGGACTGTATATGAAGACCTCATAAATAGACTCCAGTCATAGTACTCTCAGAGCCTGAGAATGGTAAAATTGCAGTTGTTATACTTGGAATTTGTAATGAATTTTGTAATGCGGTGCGTTTTTCTGTTTCTTACCAATTGGCCTCTATTAAGAATACTACCTGAAGTAGAAATTGCCATGAAATTAGCAATCAAATTACTATTAATGGTTAGAAATTTTGTCTAAAATTCTCTTTTGGCCTTGAATACCCATTCGTAGGAGTGTTCGTGTAGCTTTTGTTGGAGATGTCTTTGCCAGGATGTAATCTCACTCCTACCCTTGCCTCACTGCCTGACTCCCTCACACATTGGCACACACGCTGTGTATACACAGAGAACACCCTGTGTACACAGTAGCAGCTGGCAACAGTATCCGCTCCAGATGGGTGGGCCCCAGGTAATCCTCTGCTGTGAAGTTACTGGAATAGGCTGTTACTGCATTAAAAGAGGGGAAGAAAGAATAATTTAGCATCTGGTAATAATATTTATCTTCATGAGTCTGGAGTAACCACGTGAATGATAAAGAGCTGAAATTACAAATTTGTAGCTATAAATTTGTAAGTTATAAAATTCATGAATTATAAGTAGTTCAAGTTAAAAATGAAGCAGAGGCCTAAGAGAGTTGTCGTCATTTGTTGCACATTAAATAAACAAATTAAGAAAATTACATTGAATTACTTAAAACTAAATTTAGTGCTGTGGTTGTGCCCTTCAATGTAAAACTTCGTGTTTGATGGAGGAACTTTAACTCGTTTTCTTTGGTACTGGAACTGGCCTTTCCTTCTTAATCTTTAATTGTTTTGTACTTCATCTTTACTCCTACCACACTCCAGAAATTGTCACAAAATAGTACAAAACCTTTCTTGTTTGGTTGTTTATTGAATCTTAAAGAAGGGACAGCTTTTCAGAACAGGTATGAAATAGATCTTCAAACGGATAAAGAAAGAGCCCATTAAAGACCAGCCATGCATTTGCTTTATGATACCCTAAGAATGCCCACCATAGAACCTTGATTTGAAATTTTCCTCCCCCCCCCCCCGCACCATTTTTTTTTTTTAAGATTTTATTTACTCACTCATGGGAGACAGAGACAGAGGCAGAGACATAGGCAGAGGGAGAAGCAGGCTCCCTGTGGGGAGCCCGATGTGGGACTCAATCCCAGGACCCCAGGATCATGACCTGAGCCAAAGGCAGAGATGCTCAACCACTGAGCCACTCAGGCGTCCCTCCTTCCCTTCAATCTGTGACACAGCATTGACATTCAATACATGATTCATGACTCCTGAGGTTCATTCAACACATAAAAGTGGGCGGCAGACTCTTTGAACTTGTTTGGCAATTCCTTAGCTTCCCTGCATGACAGATACCAGGTTGAAAGTTGGTTTTGTCCTTAATTTCTTTTAGATGTTTTGTTCCTTTTAAATGCTGTTTAGTCATTGAAATATATGGAGGAAATATTTTATTGAGTAAATACACATAAAATGTTTCTTAACCCAGTAGTGTGAGAGAGATGAATTAGAACACAGTGTCTGGAAGATAATGAGACATTTAAAATGTTCAGATGCTATACAGCTTAGTAAGTGAATACTAGAATTTAAATATTGATTTTTCTATTTTAATGACCACAAGAAAAATGTCATTGCTTCAGCTGTCATATGTTTATCTTCAGTGCTTTCCTAATTATCTCTTTCTAGATTTTTGGCTTTGATGCCACAGACCAACTGCTTTACATACAGTAAAATTCTTATTTACATTTGTGTTTTGGACCAAAGGCATAAGTCAAACATTTTATTAGATCAAAGAAACCTTTTTGTTTGCATCCAAAATGAAGTATTTATAAAATATATTGGTATGTTTTCCTACCTTGACAAGTTCAGCTATATTGAATATAGTTTGATTTTTGATGATTTCTTAATCTTTAGATTGTCTGATAATTGTTATTTTGGATACCAGTATTCTTCATCCTATAGCTTACATATCAAATTTTAAATAGACTGAAGTAAATAAGCATGTATACCATATACCCTAGAGGTTGAATTCTAGAACCAAATCCTCAATAGGAGCTTGCCATTTTAAAGTAGAAAACAGAAGAAGAAAATGACTTTTGGTTGCATCCCAGAGTATTGTGGTTGTATTGTTCCTAGCTTATTCTAATATTATTCCTCTCATTTCTGGGAGTTTCTATCATTCTGGGAGTACCTATATATACCACATGAAGAATATAATATAATGTGACTTTAAAATTTGTTTACAGAGGATATATATGAGTATGCTGTTAATGTAAATTGGCCTTTGCTGTATCTGCTGTTACTGTTTTGCTGCCAAAATGTGAGAAAATATCTTCTATTCTTCCTACATATTGTGCAAGTGTTAAAAAAATTGTCCATTTCTAGTACCATATAATTCACTACATCCCCTGTCTACTTTTAAGGATCATTATAAAGAAAAACAATACCTTAGGGTAAGGTTTGCATATATGTATATGTGTTTTTACTGAAAACTGGGCCCTTGTAGCCTTGTGTAGGCCTCTACCTGTCTGATTTACTCGTTGTCTACAATGCTGCCATGGAGATGACACTGTTTACTCTCTCCTGCTTTGTCCTAAATGGTATTTGAGAAATGAGGCCTGTGAATTTCCCTTTGTGATAATAACGTGGTGAACTCAGCAGTATCTTGGATAAATGAGCTGACCATCTTGTCCCCGCCCCTGTTTTGTCTACACAGTGAATCAGAAGGCTTGTCCATGTCTGCTTCAGTGTTTGCTATTTTATATTGATATCTAAGCATTTTGTTTTCTGTTAGCGATGTTCTTTGATGCCATGTGTGGCCCTTTTGGTTGAATCTCTCCAAATGTGGGTCAGCTGCTGCCACCTGGCAAGTAACAGGTGATATGCTAAATCTCCTGTCCATTCTTGTAACAATATCCTTCATGAAATTCTGCAACTGGCTGAGTAATTATAAGCGTCATCTGTGCAGACACATGGGCTTAAGGATGTCTACAAAATTTTAGACATTTTTGCAAAAGGGGAAAAATAGTCTTGTAAATACTGAAACATTTCCATGAACTTTATCCTACTCTTGGGTGAAAAAATTCTCCTTGGCTACAGAAATCAGATAAACTTGATTTGCAATGACCAAGGACAATAATGAAGATGGATTGAGGTGGAAAAATTCTGTCTCACAAGTAATCAGTGACATCTGTCAGAGGTCATTACAGCTACTTTTAACTGTGAACACTCACCAGCTAAACTACTCACTTGCCACAACCAAATAACCTCTCTCAAAGTAGATCCAATACATCTGTATATATATATGTAGATAGAAATGAGAAAAAATCCTGAAAAATTACTGTTGACTATTAGTTAAATCAAGGTGATGATAATTATAAAGAACATTTAAATAACTGTGGGCCTTGGTGAAATGACCGTGGAGGCCAGAATGGTGCAACAAGATGTTATTCACAAGTTTGGTTTTTTGTTTTTTTGTTTTTTTAAGACCCAGATATCTCAGCTACTCATCATGGGAATAAAGACTGTTGAAAATGAAATTAAAGCCAAGCAATAATGTGCCCAAAAGAGGCAGTTATACCAGCAAGTGCATCTATATGGGTACACCATTATATAATATGGTTTGCTCCATGAAGACTGTAACCCACAGGATAAAATAAGCAAAGGCATATTTTTCTTGCTAGAAAAACTTGTTTAGGCGCTCTATAAAGAGGTATAGCATTGGTGAGTGTTGTTAGGGATATGGTTGACATCTCTGTTTTAATTATAGCCAAGACAAAAAAAGGAGTCAAAAAGTCTTGCTAGCTTAGAATTCAAGATGGCTACAACCAGAAACTTTGTTGAAATGGAGGGGTTAAACATACAGTAATTACTCTTCCCGGACACTTGCGTGTGGAAAAGCAATTCAGTTAACTCTGCCTAGAGGATTACCAGCCTTAGCTATGAAAAATGGGTTCCAAATATAAAATAACTAAAACATGAGTACTCATTTCAAAAGGGGCCTCAAATAATGCCTTACAGAAAATTATATTCCAGATGGGTGTTTCTAAACACTGATCCTTCATCGAGTCCTTTTTCAATTCAAGTTCAGAATTGGCTGCAAAACGGTAGGAATAAGTCACATACTTTACACTTCAAAAAAGATACTGATAACCAACCAGCATGGTGATAATTATGATGAGAAATACCCTAGTGATTTGTGTTTAGGAGTAATAATTGGGAGAAAAATGCTAACTTCTTTCCTAATGTCTTATGATGTGGAGATGTCACCCATTTATTTGCAGGGCAAAAATTATAGCTTGCTTTTTAACATTGCGGCTAGCATTACTCTTTGTTTAGAAAATTAAATTGTCTATTCTTTAACAAAACTTTTAAGCAGATAAACGACTTTTTCTGATTCATATCATTGCTTTAATATGTGAAGACTATGTATAGAGCAATCTGTTAAATAGGTAGAAGGGGCTTACCCATATTTATCAGACTCTCTTAATGATTTGAGATTTTTTAGCATTTATTTTAGGCCACACCTTTGAGTAAATTATTTTTCATGTTTTCCATCACATCTTAAAACAATGTTGGTAAATCAGAAGATTGCAGGATTAGAGTCATGCTCTTCAATCCCTAGAGGAGAGACTAATTTTTGTTTTAAGGACAATCCCTAGAGGAGAGACTAATTTTTGTTTTAAGGAGATAGCTTTTCCTGAGGCTGAGAAAGGTTAACAGGGCCTGAAGCTCAAGAAAGAAATATAAAATAATAATTACTAAATTTCTAGATGTATTTATCTCTGCTGTACTAATGTGTGAACAATATGTTGTGCATAATACTGTAGCTGGTTGTGGTATGTCAATACATTTTGTAAGTGTGTACAGTCTGTGAGTGGTTGGTTTTCTATTTTTATGTGTAGAAAAAAAATAACATGCTGTGTCCCATTTCAAAACCAAGTTCCGTCATCAGGTAGGCACATGTACAAAATGAATAAAGCTAACAGAAGTGTGCATATGTATTCAGTAACAGAATTTGTCCTCTTAATTTTTGAAAGTCAGAAAGGGCTGGGTTTTTTTGTTTTTGTTTTTGTTTTTTTAGTCATCTATGAGAGTAGATAACTAATTATCACAAAGGCTGGATACATTGGCAGTACATTGGCATCTTACTAAATATGCCAGGTTAATTAACCATGCCATTAGTCACAGGTAAGGTCAGTTCTTTGACCACCAGGATGATTTACATTCCTCACACATCCTCTCCGTGTTAAGTGTGTGACTAGGATGTACATACTATGGGTGTGATTGTGTACATACCTTGTATGAATTATCTAAATCCTCAGAGTTGTAGGAAAGCAGGAAGAAGAAACAGTTGTTCAAAAGCCTCAAAAGGGCTAATCAATGAGTATTTTCATTTTCTACACATAAAAATGTATACATGGCATAACTGTAAATAGCTTACTCACATATATATACACACACACAAATGCATTTTATTCATGTTAATATTTAAATAAGTCACAAATTAAAACAACTAACTGAAAACTGCATCTTTCCATGACTGTTCTGTTTCACATACATTGATATTGAATCAAATGCTCCCCATTAAATGATGTTATTCTCCTTGGTAGCAGATTTGGTGCTTAGGAAAGCCCAGCCTCACTATGAAAATCTAGTTAGTGTCTTACTCAGGCATAGACTGGTACCTGAACAGCTTCAAAGGTTTCATGCTGTTGTTTAAGCACCTAATTTTATATCTGGTAATGACAAACACTGGGGAAAATCAATTATGTTTTGTAGGCTTCACTTGTACATTTATTAGTGTGTTTATTTGCACAGGCTGATAAAAGCTCTACCTTTTTTAAGAGATGTATCTCTAGATTTCAAAATAGTGTATAATCAAAGTGGAAAATGATTGTAGGCATTCTCTTGAGATGGGCAAAACAATGTTTAGCAACACCAAAGAAGTCAAAGAGTAAATTTTTAAAAAATTAACTGATTTTGGTAGGATAATGGGATATGAGTATTCAGGAGCTCCTTAAAATGGGCCCACGT